CCACCACACCCGGCTAATTTTTGTATTTTTAGTAGAGACAGGGTTTCACCATCTTGGCCAGGCAGGTCTTGAACTCCTGACCTTGTGATCCACCCGCCTCAGTCTCCCAAAGTCCTAGGATTACAGGTGTGAGCCACCGTGCCTGTCTTAGTTCTCTAGCTTTTTTATAGATAAGGAAAACAGAAGGATCTAAGCACTTAGGTGACTCATCCACAGCCAATGGCTAATAAACATAGGAGAGAACAAAACTCTGACTTATGGCTTAATGTTCTTTCCAACTCACTAAGCAACCGTAAAATAGTAAAACTCAACATCTCAGGTTTGTCACTGCTGGGTATTCACTACATAGAAAGAAAAAACATCGACTATTTTGAACATCTACTGCATGCTAGAAACTAATCTCTTTCTTCTTAACTGCCCTATAAAACAAGGTGTTATCTCATGTTACTGAGAAATTAACTTGTCCAGTCACAAGGCTAACAAGTGACAACACAAGATTAATCCAGATCTGTTTTGTTAATGATTTTCCCTACTATCCTTCTTAAAGAGTGTATTTAGATACCACTGTCTACCAGAATCAAATCGCAAATGGCCTGTGAATTTTTACAGATCCTTCTGATTTATTAGTGGAAACTGTCCCTAGCTCCACCATCCTATCTACTTAAATCTGTTCCTATTAGGTTAAAGCATAATTACAATAACTGTAGTAACATATTTACATTTGTATAGCATGTTACAGTTTATTACATTTATTCATTTTGTTAGATGCAACTACTGAGGCGTTTCATACATTAGCTCACATATCATTTAATATTTCAAAACTCTTATGAGGTAGGAATTATTGCCATTTTACAAATAAGAAAATGGGCCAGGTGCAATGGCTCATGTCTGTAATCTCAGCATTTGAGAAGGCCAAGGTGGGCAGATTGCTTGAGCTCAGGAGTTTGAGACCAGCCTTGGCAACACCAAGAAACTTCACCTCTACAAAAAATTGAAAAATTAGCTGCACATGGTGGCACATGCCTGTAGTCTCAGCCACTTGGGAAGCTGAGGTGGGTGAATCACTTGAGCTCAGGCAGTTGAGGTTGCAGTGAGGTGTGATCACGCCACTGCACTCTAGCCTGGGCAACAGAGCGAGACCCTGTCTCTAAAGAAAAAAAAAATTAGAAAGGTAATCTCAGATCTCTCTCTGACCCCAAGTTGTCAGATGATTTCTAGTAAACATTTAAAGGGCAGATATTTTAAACTGTTTCAGAGCACAGAAAAAAGTGAAAAGTTTCCTAATCATTCTCAATTCTGGCTTCATCCTGACACCAACACCAGGCATGGATAGCAAACTTGAATGAAAACGTAATATTAGATTTATCCTTTGTAATTACATATGCAAAAGTTTAACATATTTAAGTGAAAAACAAAGGAATATGTATAGTATAATCCCATTTGTAAAAGAAAAAACATTGTGAATAGCAACATGTCTTTATGTACAGTAGAATATGAAAATGTATATTTATACATAAATACACACATAAATACAAAGATACAGGTTTGGAAATATACACCTCAAACTGTTAACAGCGGTTTCTCTAACACGGAAGTGGTCTTAGGAGTGAAGAAGGGGAAAGGACAAAGTGAAGGGAGATTTTCAGCTTTTACTCTCTATATATACATACATACTATTCAAATTCTGAAACAGTGGGTTCTAGGATGGGCTATGCCATTAAGAAGCTGTTACTAGGTTGAATCACTCTGACTCTCTTTCCCCGTTGGAAATGTGGAAAGCAGACCTACCTTATTATGATAGAAGAAAAGGAATTTATTTGAAAATGCATAATAAAATCTGATGAATATGTAGCAGTGTGGCCACAACACCTTATTTTTTGTTATTGTTTGTTTTTTTTTATTTTTCCCTCACTTTGTCACTGATCAGCCAGATATTCACAAACACAATTTAACTTCTATATGCCTCATTGAGTGCAGGAAGTAGAGTCAGAAGACCTGAGTTTACATTCAGACTTTGCAACTTATTAACTATAAGGTTAAAAAAACAAGCAAATGATTAAACTTCTTTGCACTTTAGTTTCCTGGCAGTAAAATAGGAATAAACCTACCTTACAGCACCATTTAAAAGATTAAATGAGAAAATGATACACAAATGGCCAATAAAAACATGAAAAGATGAAATACAAATGAAAATCACAATGCGATATCACTTCACAGCCACTAGGATGGCTATCATCAAAAAGACAAACATTAAGTGTTGGCAAGGATGTGGAGACAATGGAATCCTCATACACTGCTAGAAGGGATGTAAAACAGCGCAGCAGCTATGGAAAACAGTCTAGTAGATCCTCAAAAAGTTAAACAGAATTACCATATAACCCAGCAATTACACATCTAGGTATACATCCAAGAAAACTGAAAGCATATATACCATACAAAAACTTGTAATTGAGTATCCACAACATTATTCATTATAGCCAAAAAGTAGAAACAACCCAAATGCCCATCAATTGAAGACTGGACAAACAAAATGTGGCATGGCCATATAACAAAATAATATTCTGCCATAAAAGGTATGAAGTATTGATATACGGTATAATATGAATAAACCCTGAAAGCATAATGCTAAGTGAAAGACACAAAAGGCCACATATTATGATTCTATTCACATGAAGTGTCCAAAATAGGCAAATCCATAGAGACATAAAGTAAATTAGTGGTTGTCAAATATGGGGGAGGGGGAATAGTAACAAAAGCTACTAGGTACAAGGTTCTTTTTAGGATAATAATGTTCTTGGGTTAGTGTTGACATTTGCGCAATTTTGTGAATATATTAAAACCACCAAATTGTATACTTTAAAAAAGTGAATTCTATGGCATATGAATTATATCTCAAAGAAAACGATTATAAATATTTAAGTCTCTGCTTTTTCTTTTGAGACAAGGCTGGCTCTGTCACCCAGGATGGAATGGTCCAGTCGTGGCTCACTTCTCTGCCTGCTACTTTTTATTAGTAAATATTCTACTTTCCTCAAGAGGTTGTTCATGTTGCTTGTAACAGCTTTAAAAGATCTTTGAAGTCAGCTACTACACAGATTAATGGTATTTTTAGTAAAGTAAAACTACTATAACAGAGAAACTTTCTAAGAATCGGATTAGTTTGGTATAATTTCATTTTTTCAAAAGAAATGTCATTAATACCAAGTTCATTTTTAGAGAGTGGAAAAGCTTCAACAAGTCATTATAAAACACATTTTTTTAAAAAGGTCAAAATGCAATACTTTGTTTTCTTAATTAGTGGACATTTCATTTTCAGATACATCATTAGATTACCTGTTTAAAATGTCATTAAATGCCTAGCAATCAACTAAAACCCAAGGAGATGCAACTTCGTGACCTCTACTTACAACTTTCTACATTCTGCATTCTGTTGTCAGATTCCTAGTCCATCACTAGCTCCTAATCTCTTACATCAATTATTCCATTCAATTCTCACTCACAGGGGCTAAAATGTTTGGTAAATGCAATCAATTCATTTTTCTAATGCTGGGGAACTTACTAGAGTGGGCCCAATTTTTAAGGTTAAATTTAGTCCAGAATGTTTGAATATTCAACAAAACGATTCCTGGAATTTGGAACATAAAAACAGCCTATAGAGTTGTGAAATGCTTTCTAGGTCCTTCGGGAATTTTTTCATGTATTTAGTCGTGGGGCAAAGTATTACGTATAAAAGCTTCCTGGTCCCAGAACAAAGACGTATTTTACTGCTCAAAGCTAAAGGAATTAGTATTGTTACACTAAAATAGCATACCAATGAAACCAGCTAGGTATTGGCATAACCCAAGGTATGTAAACAAAGATAAAGTGTACCTTATTATGCATTCTTCCTTGGGGGGAAAAATTCTCACATTAATAAGATTTAGCCAGCCAAAATAGAAAAAATATACACATATATATGTGTCTGTGTATGTCGGTATGTATAAGGATTAGAATTTTGAGTAGCAATTTAAATTTGATGGTTTGCCAAGCTATGCTGGGATACATGGTGGGCATGCTTGACACAGGCAAAACGTGAAGCAAGAGACGACCTGTCAAACAGCTGCTATCTAGTTACTCCCTCGGCAGCACTTCCAACTTCTCCCGCGATGTCTGTGTATGAGAGAAAGATGTCAAAGCACCAAGAAAACCAAGGGGGATATCAGAGCAACAGCCAAGTCCAAACCGTGCATCCCAGGGTGAAATGCCACCCGTACCCTCAAGAGCTGGTCAGACTGCGGCTCTTTTCTAGTATGAGTCTACCTAAAATAGAAAAACACACAACCACGGACCCTGGCCAACCCGCTCTCTCCTCCCCTTTGTGACTCTCCCAAACGCTGGAGGGATGTTAACCTCCGGCAGGCCCGTGGAAGCCAAGCCCCGCGACCTGAGGAGGCGTCCAGGAGCCTCGGCACAGCCCTGGGGCCTCGAGTCCGTGTCCCCCACCCACCCGACAGGGCCGGTCACCGGTCACACAAAGGAGCCAGCCGCGGGCGCTGGACATGGGGACTCGCCCCAGAGCCGGGAGCCACATCTGGTTCCTGCACGCTGGCAAAAGAGACCCGCTGGAAAATAAGGATTAACGCCCAAACCTGTTGCACAATTCGGGTCCCTTTCACCCAGAAATGAACAAGGGCGCTCAAGAGCGGAAAAGCGCGCGGCCCGGTCTCTGCGGGCCGCGGCCGCACCCGGCAGACGGCGCGGAGGCAAAGGCGGCCCGCAGGGCTCCCACCTCGGGCGCTTTGTCTGCGGCGGCGGGGGCGGCCAGGGCGCTGGGAGCGGAGGGGTGGCGGGGCGGGGGCTCCCCTCCTTCACTGCGCAGCCCCTCCGCCCCGCGGCCCGCGCGGGGGAAGAAAGCCGGGCCCGCTGCCGCCGCCGCCGCCGCCGCGCCACCGCTGCACCGGCCACCCGGCCGCGGGGCCTGCGCGCTTCTCCCGCCCAGGCCGAGCGGCGGCCACACTCACCTGGCTGGCGCTGACGCTAGCGGCCGGCGGCTCCGGGGCGTTGGGGAGGACAGGGGAACGCTAGCGAGGTGCGGGCGGAGGCGGAGGGCGCGGCGGGAGGAAGGCGGGCTGGGGGCGGAGCGGGCCCGGGCGGCAGCAGCGGCGACGGCGGCGGCGGCTCCAGTCACTCGCGGCAAATCGCGTCCCGGCCCCTCCGTGCGTCAGGCGGGAGCGGGGGCGCGGGTGGCCCGGCGACCTCTCGGCACCCGCGGCCCGAGCCGCGTCCGCGCGACCCCGCGCACGCCCGGGTGACGGCGGTACAGCGACCCAGCCCGGCGCGGGAAGGGGGAAGCAGGCGGGGTGGGGCGGGGCGGGGCGTCCAACCGGGCCTGGGGCTGAGGGCTGGGCGCGAGCGGGACTCTGGCGATCCCGGACGGACCCTGCCGTCCCCACCCCTAGTCGAGGCCCAGGCTCCCCAGGCGGGAGGCAGTCTGGGAAAGTGGAAGGGTCCCTAGACCTGAAGTCAGAAATTTGGGCTTCAGAGAGGGCCCGCTACTTGACACCTTGGCAGGTCGTTTATTTCCTCTGGCCTCATCCTGGAGTTGGAAGGTTCGAGTACAAGGTCTCCAAGAGCTGCTCCCAAGTACCCACTGCCAAGGCGTGGTGTGGCTGAAGGATGAAGGCAGATGAAAGGGAAAGGGTTGCTGTGAGGAAGGGCTGGATTCTGGGCATTTGTTTTGCTTTGAGGATCTTTCCATTGGACAGTCCAAAATTAATCCACAAATGGGGCTCCCTGATAATGGCTACTTCCCCATTTTTACCAACCTAGTTATTTTTCTCCAAATATACTGACTTAAGAGTCCTTGTTCTCATTTTATTGCGCAAATCATTTTTATGTCATTTCCTGAATTCAGTTCAAAAGAGTCATCAGCAAATTCACACCAGATCAGAGCAGCTGTGTGGTCCCAATTTCAAGACTTCCATATTATTCACTCAGCCACTCACTTGAGTATCACCTAATTCCATTGATAAAATCTTGCCATTCCAACAACTAAGCAACCAAATTTCTCTCCACTAAAGTTTTCTGACTTAAAATCCCATGGATTAATTCTTCTTCTTAATTCTGTGAATATCAGTCTGTCTCCATGACTTCCACCTCTTTGCCACTCTTTAGGTCAAGTCTTTAATTTCACTGCTGCTTCAGTTCCACATAACTGCCAGAGAGAATGCTCCAAAAAGACAGAGCTGAGCATGCAATGTCCCTCTTTAAAATCATTCAGAGTCTCTCCACCAGGTTGAATCAGAGTCAAACCTATTATCATGGTTTACAAAGCCATTTAAAATCTGATCTCTTGACCTCCTTGGCTCCAGCTTCAACTCCTAACATATCTACGTATCACACAAATTCAACAGGCTTTGTCTTTGTGCCCTTGTAGTTTTCCCCCACCTGAAATCCATCCCTCATTTAACCAGTTGAACGCCTATTATCCTTCAAGATAATGAAGATAGTACATTCCTTCCTCCTTGGAATCTTCCCTGCAATCATCTCCTTTCACCACATCTGCATCCTTACCCCACACACTTACAATGAATTAAATACTTTTTCTCTCTGCTTTCATAAAATCATCTATTTACAGTATTCCATATGATAATATTTAGTACTTGCTTTTTTCCTGTTGCTTTGCTTGGTGGCCTTTTCTTCCTAGACTGTGTGTTGTTTAAAAGGACAGGGATTTTGTCTAGTTCATTTTTTGCTCCCCAGAACATAGCACAGTGCTCAGCACAAAGAAGGTTCTCTTTAACTGTTTGCTGAAGTGTTGAAATAATTTTCCATTCCAACAAATAGATGTTGAACGTCTACTCAACGAGAAGAAAATACAGTGAAGTTCACAGTCCCTGTCTTTTTTAGCCTTCCGTGGTATTCTGTTTTTCCCTTCTCTACTATATGGTGTTCTCTGCTTATCATTTAAAACTCACTCCAACGACCATTCACATTCTTTGCTTATCCTAATAAAACAAGAGCATGCCAAGCAATCCGTTATAGTAATTCACAAAATATCCCTGCCCTTCCTCTTTCCATATTTCTGGTTCCAAGTTGTATTACCTAGGTGTTAGGTGAGAAGTAACTGCTATAATGGAAAAAACATTAATAGCACCTTAAATCAATTCAGAGAATGAAATTTGGATGCTATGTTTTCCAGTAACTACTGAATGAACTTAGCTCAATCACTTATAGTCATGAGGCTTCACTTCTGGAGTTTCTTCGGCTCTATGATTCGCATTTGTTTTTAATATTTTGTTATAAAGTTAAATATATATATATGCTAGATTCTTGCAAACTAGCTATCCAGCATATGTTTGAACTCCAAGTGATAGGAAATCATTCACGACCTCACAACAGTTTTCATTTTTAAACAGTCCTGCTAGTTTCTATGTTCAACTGAAATGTGTCTCTGTATACATTTGGTAGGTAGCTGCAGTATTGGTAGAAACACCACTGGACTTAAACTCCAAAGAAGTGTGGTCAAATCCTGGGTTTATAACTTCCTAATTGTGTGACCTTGGAAAAGCACAAAACTGCTCCAAGTATGAGTTTGCTCCATTCTAAAAGGATAAAATGATAATAGCACCTTAAATCATTATTGTAAATATGAATGCCATGTGTATGAATGTGTCCAGTGAATCTGAACCTAGTACTAACATTGTTTAATACGGAACAGCATGGTTCCCCTTCCGTAGGCAGCCTTGTAAACATTTGAAGTCAACAGTCACAATGTGTGCCTTCCCCACCCACTTTTTATTCACATCCCATTCATCTCCATGTGCGTTTATCTAAACATTCTCCAGTGCCTCTTAAAATGTGGCACCTAGAACTGAATCCAATCTTGCAAGTATAAAGAAAGAAGTAGAGGAGTACAATTTTCTGCATTCTAATGATGATATTTCAAAATTCAGTTTGATATCACATTATTTTTCTACCACCCCATACTGTTCATAAATATCATGTCATTGCCAACTAAAAACAAGCAAAAATTACCCCCAAATCTTTAAGTCTTTAGCATACATCCAGCTATAAAACCATATCTTCTCCAACCTGTATTTTGCAATTTGTTTTGGAAACCGTGCAGATCTTTGCATTTATTCCTCTTAAATATCACTTTGGAAGTTATGTGCAGAAGCCCCTGCCAACTAGAAATCAATGTGAAATGAGAGTAACATTTTAAAACATTAAAGGGTGGAGAAAAAGAATCCAAAGGCACCTCAAGCAACAAGTTTCTAAATTCTTAATTTCTCCTCTACTACTTATCATAGATTAATAAATAATAATTATTATATAATAATAATAATTATTATTATTATTTTAGAGGGAGTCTCACTCTGTCGCCCAGGCTGGCGTGCAGCAGCACGATCTCGGCTCACTGCAACCTCTGCCTCCCAGGTTCAAGCAATCCTCCTGCCTCAGCCTCCTGAGTAGCTGGGACTACAAACACGTGCCACCTCACCCGGTTAATTTGTGTATTTTTAGTAGAGTCGGGGTTTCACCATGTTGGCCAGGCTGGTCTCGAACTCTTGACCTTGTGATCCACCCGCCTCAGCCTCTCAAAGTGCTGGGATACAGGCATGAACCACTGCACTTGGCCTAATTTATTTATTTTTAAGAGATAAGGTCTTCCTATATTGACAAGGCTGGTCTCAAAGTCGAGGCCTCAAGCGATTCTCCCACCTTAACCTCCCGAGTAGCTGGAACTATGGGAGTGATCTACCATACTAGCAAGTATTTTTTTTAAGCCACATTTGAATGTCATCTAAAATTAGATAACTTTCCATACTCATCTTGTTTTATTTATATCATAAATTAATAGTGAAAACACCTTCTATGAGCATGTTCCATACATTGTTCGCTTGAACCACTGAAGAATTCTCAATCGGTCTCAGACAGACTGGTATTGTTACTGCCAGTTTCCTGAAACTCAGCTCGGTTAGGTAATTTGCTACACAGTCATCCTGCAGCAAATTTGGCTTGGAGAAACTGCCCCTCCTCCAGCCCTTGCTGAAGGGTGGCCCCAGGCAAGACTCTTGTACTGTGTGTGTAATCCCTGAATCACTGTTGATTGCCCCTGGGTGGGCACTGACCTAGACACAGACAAGTCATACTCATTCAAAAAATGACCTGGAGGGAGAAAATCAGTCCAAAAAAAAAAAAAAAAAAAACCCTGATCCAATCAGGCAATCAACTGGGGAAGCTAAAATCCAGGAGTCACAGAGGGTGTCCGTGGGCAGGAAGGGCCCTGACAGATCACCAGTGAGAAGAAGCTACTGTCTACCAAACAATGACTGAGCAGAAAATATCCATTCATATATTCATTCAACAAGTATTGATTAAGTGTCTCCTGTGATTTAGGTACTGGGGATACAGTGTGGACAAAATACATAAAAATTCTGCCTCATGAATATTGCATTCTGGTGGGTGGGACAGGCAATAAACACAAAATAAGTAAATCAAATCGTACACTAGAAGGTGATAAGTGCTAGATAAAAATAATGCAGGGAAGGGGACTAGAGAGTGCTGGGGTTTAGGGTACAATTTTTACTATCAGAGAAAGCCTTGCTAAGAAGGTGAAGTCACAGGTAAGGCTTGAAGGATCCAAGGCAGTGAGGCTGTGGAAAAGAAGGTAGGGGAGACGCTGAGGGAGCCAGCTAGTGGCTGGGTCATCGCGCAGCAGGCACCAAGATAACGAGCCACAACATCAAACTATACACAGAGCACGACATTGACAATCTACCTGGGAGCTTTTCCCCCAGGTCAACTAGACCAGAAACTTTGTAGATGGGACCTGAAAAGTCTGTATTTTTAAACACTCCTGAGATGATTGGAACATTCCACAAGGATGAGAATCCCTGCTCTTATGAAAAGACTACAAACTCCCACTGATGCCTTGGGTTCTGAATACCCGTTAAATTCTGTCTTCCAGAATGCACAATTTAATTTGCATTCCTCTCCTCTTAGGGTCTATATTAGTCCATTCTCACACTGCTATATAGATAATACCTGAGACTGGGTAATTTATAAACAAAGGAGGTTTAATTGACTCACAGTTCCACATGGCTGTGGTGGCCTCAGGAAA